TTAGTAGGTGTTAACTCGAACGAGGTCGAGTGTACCCTGTATTGAGTTGGTTCGAGCGAGGTCATATGTGAGTTGATTAGAGCGAGGTCGAATATGAGTTGATTCGAACGAGGTCGAATGTGAGTTAATTCGAGCGAGGTCTAATATGAGTTGATTCGAACGAGGTCCAATATGAGTTGATTCAAACAAGGTCGAATCTGAGTTAATTCGAACGAGATTGAATGTGAGTTAATTCGAACGAGGTCGAATGTTAGTTAATTCGAGCGAGGTCGAATGTGAGTTGATTCGAAAAGGTCGAATATGAGTTGATTCGAAAAGGTCGAATGTGAGTTAATTCGAGTAAGGTCGAATGTGAGTTGATTCGAACGAGGTAGAATGTGAGTATATTCGAACGAGGTCGAATGTGAGTTAATTTGAACGAGGTCGACTATGAGTTAATTTGAACGAGGTCGAATTTGAGTTAATTCAAATGAGGTCAAATGTGAGTTAATTCAAATGAGGTCGAATGTGATTTACTTAATTGTGGCAGAGGGGGCGGTAGATATTGAGGCGATGTTGTTCTAGCAAAAACATGGGCGAATTTCATACATTTGTGTTTTGCTCATATACTTGGAGAAATTTACATATTTTTCGGCCTGGCATTCCAGTCCCAGTCTATCTAGTCCCTTCATTAGGTTACCCGGAGACGTGTTGAGAGGTTGGGCAATGAACTAATCGTCCGGTGTCTCTTTCCATTCATATTTCGACTTGGAAGTGTCCCTTTGTATCCTCGTTAAAACCCTCCTCGAGAAAACTCAATTGGGACAAAACTCAAGTGAGGGAAAAAGAGTGAGACTTGGAGGACGTTTTTTCTTAAAAGTTGAAGTACTTGAGGTGGGCGACATTCCAGTTGTTTGGTAGTAGTTTTCTTTCCATTGTTTCTAGTTGAAATGACCCTTTATTTGCTGCTGCCCTGATTTTGTATGGGCCGTCCCAATTCATCCCTAGTTTGCCTTCCCGCAGATTTTTACTTGCTTGTGTTTTGGCCTTGAGCACGTAGTCCCCGACTTTGAGTGGTCTGCTCTTGGAATTTTTGTTATAATAGTGTTTTGTCTGCATTTTTTGAGCGACCATCCTTATGTAAGTCATATTTCTCCGTTCTTCAGCTTCGTCGAGCTCTTGCCTTCTGCTTTCATCGTTCCTCGGCCCGCTCTCATGGGAATATCGCAAACTGGCTCTCCGACTTTGACCGGTATTACCGTATCGGTCCCATAGACTAAAGAGTAGGGTGTCTCTCATGTGCTCAACTTTGGCGTTGTGCCATAGGCCTAAAGCACTTTTGGTAATAGCTCCGACCATAATCCCTTGGCGTCCTCAAGATTTTTCTTCATGATGTTCAGTATTGATTTATTAGAGGATTCCGCTTTCCCGTTGCCCGTGGGGTGGTATGGTGTGGAGAGTATTCTTTTGATATGCCACTTCTCAAAAAATTCGGCGACCTTTTTTCCAGTAAATTGGGGTCCGTTGTCATAATTGATCTCTTTGGGGAGGCCGAAGCGGCACACAATGTTTTTCCATATAAAGGCGATCATTTCTTGTTCGCCTATTTGGGCAAATGCTCATACTTCTACTCATTTAGAAAAATAGTCAGTTAAAACCAAAAAAATCATACATTACCTCGCCTCGCAGGGAGGGGGCCGACGATGTCCATTCCTCATTTGATGAAAGGCCAAGGGGAGGTGATCGAGTGGAGATGCACGCCCGCTTGATGGATCATTGGGGCGTATTTTTGGCATTGTTCGCATTTTTTCATGAAGTCTATGGCCTCTTTTTTCATGGTGGGCCAGTAGTAACCTACCCGTATGAGACATCTGAAAGAGCTCGAATGCCTGAGTGAGCTCCGCAGTGGCCTTCGTGGACTACTTCTAGGACACGCTACGTCTGATTCAGGCCTAAGCATTTCGCTAGGGGGCCTCCATACGTCCTTTTGTATAGGTCGTTGTGAATAATGTTATACCTGGCGGCTTGCATCCGGAGCTTCTTGGCTTCCTTTTTATCATCTGGGAGTACGCCGTCCTGCAATTATGTAACAATACGGTTGCGCCAGTCCCAGGTTAGATTTATAGTCCTTACCTCGATTTGATCTATCAATGAGTGGAGGAGGGTGACCACGTTTCTTTCTCCGGTTATACTTTTAGTTGCTGCTGCTAATTTGGCGAGGCCGTCTGCTTCAATGTTTTTTGCTCGAGAGATTTGGTCAAGCTGGCACTCATCAAACTCAGGCAGTAGTTTGCAGATCTCGGCCTGGTATTTTTGTAACTTTTGCTCTTTGATCTGGAAAGTCCATGTGACTTGGTTAACGACGAGTTAAGAGTCACAGCGTAGGATGACCCGCCTCACCCCGTACTTGAGTGCTAGCCTTAACCCTGCAATCACAGACTTATAATCGACCTCGTTGTTAGTCATGTCCGGCCACCTTATGGACTGGCAAACTACTTCGCCTTTCGGGACTTCGAGCACAAGTCCCAGTCTGGCCCCTGATGTATTGGAAGCATCGATAGATCTTGTGTTTGCGGAGAAGTGTGGGCGGCTTCGTTTTCGACTTCGGGCATCATTTTTGCGATGAAGTCGGCGACGAAGTCGGCAAGGACTTGTGATTTTATCACCGTCCGCGGTTGATATGTGATATCATGTTCGCTCAATTCTATGTCCCACTTGGCTAACCTGTCCGATAGCTCAGGCTTATGCAAAATACTTTGCAAGGGGAAAGTTGTGACTACCGAGATTGGGTGGCACTGAAAGTAGGGTCTAAGTTTTCATGAAGCTACGACTAAGGCCAAGGCCAATTTTTTGAGGTGGGGATACCTCGTCTTGGCGTTGATTAAGGTTCTGCTAATGTAATATACGAGGGATTGCGTACCTTTATCTTCTCGTACCAGGACTGCACTCACCGCTACTTCAGATACGGTAAGGAAGACGAGAAGACGTTCCCATGTTCTTCTTTGGAAAGCAACGACGGTGATGACAGATAAGCCTTTAATTCCTTCAGGGCTTGAACGCACTCGGAAGTCCATTGGAGGTTGTTGTCATTCTTGAGTACAGCGAAAAACTTATGGCATCTGTTAGATGATCGTGAGATGAATCTCAACAGGGCGGTGATGCGGCCGGTCAGCCTCTAAACCTATTTTTTGCTGGTTAAGTGCTCTGGTATTCCTTCTATGGCTTTGATTTGGTCGGGGTTGACCTCAATACCCCTTTGCGATACTAGGAAGCCCAAGAATTTTCCTGAGGTCACGCCAAATGCACATTTTTTGAGGATTCAGCTTCATTCCGCACCGCCTGAGTATATCGAAGGCTTCTTTCAGGTGGTTGATGTGATCTTGTTTCCTTTTGGACTTGACTAACATGTCGTCTATGTAGACCTCCATGGTCTTTCCGAGTTGGTCTTTGAACATTTTGGTCACCAACCTTTGATATGCCGCCCCCACATTTTTCAGTCTTAAGGGCATCACCCTGTAGCAGTACGTTCCTTGGTGGGTTATGAAGGTGGTCTTCTCCTGGTCCTCCTCTTCCATGAGGATCTGATTGTAGCCCGAGTAGGCATCCAAGATGCTCGGCAGTTCATGCTCGGCCGTTACGTCAATGAGCTGGTCAATGTGAGGTAGTGGGAATGAATCTTTGGGCATGCTTTGTTTAAATCCGTAAAGTCTACGCACATCTGCCACTTTCTGTTCTTCTTTTTCACCATGACCACATTGGCGACCCATTGGGGGTATTTTGATTCCCCGATGGAGCCATTTTCTAACAATTTTTTTACCTCCTGGCGAACTGCATCGTTTATTGTGGAATTGAACATTCAACTAACCTGCCTTACCGGGGGATAGAACGGGTCGACGTTCAACTTGTGTCTGGCGACCTCCTTCAGGATACCTGGCATGTCTGCATGGGAAGAATCAAACAAGTCCGCGTTAGCAGTTAAGAATTGACGGAATTTACGTGGTTCTTGAAACTTGCGACCGACGCAGGCTTTCTTGTTGTGGTCATTTTCATCAAGTTGGACGGGGTCGAGGTCTTTTACGATTGATCCCGTGGCATCTATTATTTCGGGATCTCTGATGACATCCGATTTTTCATCATATCTCGACCTCGACCCTGTTAATTGCTATGCATCCTCTGCTTTGCCCTTTATTTGTTGGGTATATGTATAATCCAGGGCGATGCGATAGTATTCTCGAGATGTGCGTTGTTCTTCTCGTACGCTGAATACTCCCCATAGGGTTGGAAATTTGATAATTTGGTACAAGCTGTAGGGGATAACCCTCACGGCGTGTATCCAAGGTCGGCCTATTACGGCATTATACGTCGTATCCTTGTCCATGATGTGGATGTGGTTTCCAGAGTGACGCCCCCAGCTAGGACGGGGAGTGTGATTTCCCCAGATGTTCGTTCAACTGCATTGTTAAAACCTGTTAGTGTGATGCAACGCGATACTATCTTATCCTCGAGTTTCATTTGTGCAAGTACTCGAGGATGGACAATGCACACGCTGCTCCCATCGTCCACCATAATGCGTCTTATATCTGTATCCAATATTCGTAAAGTGATAACAAGGGAATCATAGTGAGGGAAAACCAAACCGTGGGTATCTGACTTATCGAAGATGATACTTTCTTCGAGTTCACCGTACCGTTCATGAGTGATTGACCGTTTGAGCTAGTGGGTTGTGGCAAACTTTACGTTGTTGATCGAAACATCGCCCCCCTCCTCCCCGATGATCATTTGAATGGTGCGAGTCGGTGAGGGTGGTTTCGGCGGTCCTTGGTGTTGTTCATGTCCTCGTGCAAAGTTGGTCCTCCCTCAGTCGCTCAATAATTCTTTGAGGTATCCTTGATGAAGCATGTTCATGACCTCCTGTCTTAGGGCGATGCAGTCCTCGATTTTGTGACCTCGCTCTTGGTGGAACTCGCAGAGGGCGTTGGATTTTCTAGTGCTTGGATTTGACCTCATCTTTTATGGCCACTTAACTTTTGATCCGAGCTTCTCCAATGCGTAGACTATTTCTGAGGGTGACACACAAAAATTGTGAGTGGATAGTAAATGGGGCATACCTCTCTCGTTCCGTTGAGTCCATGTCCTTGGCCTAGATGGGCCCTCTTCATGGCAGTAGGGGGGCATGATGGCGCTTCTGACATATGGTTGATTCCTTTCTCGGTTGGATCCTTACTAGTTTCGGCTTGTACGGAGGTCAATCGATGGGTTGGCCCATTCAGGTCGTCTTTGTCAGCACGGACCTCGACACCGTAGGTGTTGTATATTTCATCCCAAGTGGTTGGATGATATTTCATAAGCCGACTTAATAAGTTTCTAGTCGCCCTTGAGCCATTCCTATTTAGCCCATTCTGGAAAGTTGCTACATCCATTCCTTCCGATACATTCGGTAAGGTCATCCTTACTCTATTGAATCGAGCGATGAAGTCCCTCAATCCCTCTCCGGTTGATTGTTTGATGGCAAATATATCGTTCACTCTTGCCTCCGCCATTTTAGCCCCAGCATGGGCCGTTACGAACTTGTCGACCATCTCTTCGAATATTTCAATGGAGCGTGGAGGCAGTTGTGAATACCAAGTTAATGCTCCTCCGGTAAGGGTCTTGCCGAACTTTTTCAACAAGATGGAGGAGACTTGTTCTTTGGCGAGATCATTTCCCTTTACCGCGGTGACATAGTGAGTTACATGATCTTCGAGGTCGGTTGTACCGTCATAAATTTTCAGATAAGGCGGCATCTTGAAGGTCTTGGGTATGGCATGAGAGGCGGATTCATCACTGTAGGGTTGCTCAACGAACCGACTAGCGTCTCTTTTTGGCAAGAGTTTTGGGGCACCCGGTATTTTGTCGACTCTTTTTTGGTGTTCTCTCATTTGATCCCGAAGCATTTTGTTTTCATTTTCCATTTCTTTTATTTTCCTCAGAATGGTCGTGAGGGTGTCGTTACCTACATTATTAATATTGTGAGTGATACTTGTTACTGGAGGGGGAGGGTCTTGCTGCTTGGTCGTTGCTGGTGCAATGCAAGTCCTTGCATTTTCTCTAACTGCCTTCTGAGTGGGCTTGTCGAGGATGTCGATCAGCGTATTTGTCAGCCAAGCCTCGAGTAGCTTTTTCACCACTGGTGACGCCTCATCCGATGTGGACGTGGAAGCTCCTTTACCACGGGATGTTATAATACTGCCGTGAGGGATGGGCGACCCACTTCGCCGGAGAGAGGTGTTAGGCATTATGTCTTCGCCTTCTATTTCAGAGACCTCATTGATGGTGTTTAATACGTTGGTAGTGAGATCAGCCATTGCCTTCATTCTTTCTTCTCCATTACCTACCATGTCAGATCCGTGTGTACAAGGAAGTAGGAGCTTTTTTTTTTTGTGAACCGTTCCAGTTATAGATCTAAAAAAACTAAAAACTTAACTAGATAATCCCCACAGACGGCGCCAAATTGTTTGACCAAAAAATGTAGACTTTTGATTAAACTAATTAATTTTATATGACGAAGGGCTAAACCTAGTTAATGATAATAACTTCAAATCTATAATCGATTAACACAAATAACGCAAGACTCAGTGTTGAGAGAAGATTAAATATGATGTATATTCAATGTTTCAAGATCATTAATGATGGGGGAATATCAAGCAATAAATAACGTTAAATGGCATGAAAGTAAATAAGGAGAATGATTCACTCAATATTGAATGAGGTAGATGATTCTTCTTTCTGACAATGATGAATGATAGACAAATACTAGCATGTTAGGACCCTTCTCGGATCTAATGGAAAAAGTGTGGAATAGTAGACAATCGCATATCTTTAGAAAGGTAGTGATTGTCTTTTATCTAGAGAGAAAGTCTGTTTTTCCCAGAATGCTCTTATCAGAGAATATTACATATCCCTCTCCCCTATCTCTTTTTCTCTTTATATGAGACATTCCTCAGTTAACCCTAAAAGTACAGACACCAAGAATATTCAATAGAATATTTCCCTGAATATTCTATAACAAAAACTAGTCGTTAGCACTGCCATTGATATTCGACCTCAGCCGTTATTGACTACTCGGCTACGAGCCCCGTTATCTACTAATCGACCTTGACCATATCACTTTCCACAATACCGCTTCATGCTAAATTCCACTGAGACATATTTTGACCCATACAGTTTCTTCGTGGTAACATTGGAGTTGCAAAATTCAAGACTTTAAAAATCATCAAGTGTTCAATTTATTGCGGAATTTGGTGCACTCCCTCCAACTCTTTCTCTTATTTACTATTTTATTTGCATATTTAATTTTAGTTAGTTGTTAAATTTTTACAATATGTTTAATGCTGCAAAAAAAGTTTGTAATAAGGTTGCTAATCGGGAAAATAGAAAAGAAGGTACTATTTCAATATCTAGTAGTAATTTAAATGACTTTACACATGTTTCTGAAACATCACATGATATTAATATAGATTATGAACAATTACAGAAAAATTTCGGTATAGAAGATAATGAATTAGAAATTGAAGATGAGACACCACTTACACCTAATAGTGTTGGAGTTGGTAGCAGGGGTGGTGGTCGTGGCACTAGTAGTAGACCACCTATGGCCCCGACTACTAATCGGAGAAAAAGAAGTAAAGTTTGGAAATATTTTGACGAAATAGAGAATTCCGATAGAGTTAGATGCAAAAATTGTAAAGATAATTTTATAAGACTTGAGGAAGAGTAGGGGGACTGGAACACTTAGAAGACATATGAAAATTACTCATCCTATAGAATAGGGCTCTGATTTAGATGAAAAGCAAGGAACTCTAAACTCTAGTACTGGATGATTTATGAAATATGATAAAATGAAGGATCGCGAGGAGTTAGCAAAAATGATTGCTTTGGGTTGTCTACCTTTTTCTTTTGCTTCTTCATCATATATGACTATGTAGATATATTATTCAAAGGATTTATAATCCCTTATTTAAAGGTATCCCTAAAAGTACTTGTAGATCTGATATCTTTAGACTTCATGGACAATATCAGATATACACATGTTATTTGTTTGACCACCTTCCTTGTAGAGTTTCTGTAACTTCTGATATTGGCCATGCTGTAAATGGAAATGATTATTTGAAAATTACATGTCATTGGATAGATAATAATTATTGTATGCAAAAACGTATTATCGCTTTTAAATATAATGAAGATCAAAGCCATACTGCTATTTTTATAAGTACTACTATTTGCGAAGTTGTTAAATTTTATAATCTTAATAAAAAAGTATTGTGTATGTCTTTTGATAATGCTTCTAACAATAATGCTGCCATTTCAATATTAAGATTGCATTTGAAACAACCACTAGACGAAATTTTTCATGTTAGGTGTGCATATCATGTTTATAATTTAATTGTTAAAAGTGGCCATGATTTATTTTCGACTGAGATTACTCATGTTAGAAGAGCAGTTAGTATTATTCAAGGAAATAACAGCTTTTTGATTGATTCAGGGTGCCGCCCCCTTCTTAGAATTAGAACCCATTGAGGGGGGCCTCGGCCCGGGAAGGGGAGAGTGGCCGAGTGGTCAAACAATCTAGAATTAAGGAATTTAAGACTAAGCGTACAGAGCATAATCTTAAACCCAGATTCATGCTAGATGAAATTATTACTAGATGGAATTATACATACTTATTTTTGAAATGCGGCTACAAATATAGATTGCCGATAACTACAGTTGCTAATGCGCATTGTACTTATCCAAACCGTATGTTAACAACTAATACTTGGGAGACCATTAATGATGTTGTTCAATTTTTACATAAATTTTATACAGTTAATGTTGAGTTTTCTGGAGCATATTACCCTACTGTTACTATGGCTTTAGTACATATAACTGGAATTTCTTCTCTACTCTCTGAATTTAAGAAGAAAGAAAAATATAAGGATGCTGTTGAAAAAACGCAAGCCAAATTCAAAAAATATTCCTTTCCAATTCCTCATATTTACTTAATTGGTGTTGTTTTAAATCTTTCTATTAAGATGTCTAATTATCACCGATTAATCAATGCTTTATATACATATATAGAGATTGGACCAACTGAAATCCCAGATATATATTGTTTTATGAACAAGCTAAATGATTATTTACAATAATTATATAATTATTATGCAAATATAATTGATGATAATGCTATTAATGTAGGCAATGTTAATCCCAATATGCATTGTACTACTTCTACTGCATCTGCTACAATGGATGAAGATGAAGGTATTGATGGTTATAATATTTGGTCTACATTTCCTTTCACTTAAACCAGTGGTAGGAACATTGATGAACTTCAATTCTACTTGCAAAATCAATCAGAGTCTCGCACAAAGGAATTTTCACCGTTGGGATGGTGGCATGAGAATGAAAAGTAATTTTCTATTCTTTCCACTATGACTCGGGACGTGCTGAATGTGTCAATTTCAACTGTTGCATCAGAGAGTATATTAGTAAAGCAAGACGACAACTAAGAGACACCCGTCACTCATTGGGAAGCAATACTTTGGAAGTTTTAGTATGTTTCAGAGATTGAATTAGATCGGAACGAAGAAATCAGGGACGTGAAGATGTTGATAAACCAGAAGACGAAGAACTTGGAGATATATTAACATATGGTCACCCATCTAAATTTAACACTCCAGAAGATGGCTAAGAAGTTCATATTGATTATGAATAACTTACTAAGGCAATGCAAAACCTTTGAAGTTCTGGATTTATATTTAATAATTAAACTTTGAATTTACTTTTTTTTCGTTAATTTAGTTGTTGTTAAATGTAAACTTTAATTTCCAAGTTTGAAATATAAAAAAAAAGAACTTGCAAATTATAAGTGCAATTTTTTTCAATCTTCATCGTATTCTATTATCTTAAATTCTCAATGAAATATTCAAATATAAGGATTTTAAAGCCTTTGCATCCTTTATTCAAACACTCTTTTTATAAGATTATTTTTTGGTTTTATATTTTTACTTTATATTAATATAATTTATGATAGTTATACAAAATATAAAAAAATAATAAATAAATAAATAAATAAAACCGGTCTTGCCCGACCTCGTAGGGGTCGGAACCATTCCGGTTCATTAAATAACCGGATGGGCTCGAACCCGATAAACCCGATATGGAAAACCGATAACCGGCCCAGATCGGTGACCGGCCGATCACCATTTCCATTAACTCGGACCGGACCGGTCCGGCCCCCGCCACCTTTAGCGGTAATGTGTTGGACTAGACTCGTTATACGATATGGCGCGTCAAATGTAATATTTTAATATAATTGTATAGGGTTTTTAATTTGGCCGGTCAACCAAAGAATAATTATTGCTACTAACTAAATATATAAAAAATATACATCGAGTTATGTATAAAATATATTAACTATATGAATATTATCCATTAATATATAAAATATATATGTATTTGTCTTAATTTGGAGTGTGTGATATTCACTCTTAAATTTTGGTTGAACAATGAAAATTTTGAAGAAAAAAAATTGTTAATTGTTACCACCATAGGAAATTAAGCCTAGGGAGTAGGCACAAGTGCCGTTGAGCTGCAAAATATGGGATTAGGGAAATGAAAAGCCAAAGACATGCTAACAAGTGAAATTTGTCTTTTATCATAACATCATTGAGATTGCATGTCCCTATTGACCGAGGCGGGATCTTCACATTTGAAGTATGTATTCAGAGAAGCTAATGAAATGGCAGATCAGTTAGCAAAAAAGAATGCAGTCTGAACGTTTTTGAAAACTTAATGTTATACTATTTTCCTCCAGCTTTTGCTATTTCCGTTTTTTGATAGAGATGGAATAGGCATCACGTGGCCTAGGCAAATCTCAAGTTGTAATGATTCTTAAGTATGTTATGTTTTAAATAAAAGTATTTAATTACAAAAAAAAAATGGAAAGCCAAAGATAAGAAAACATGTGGCAGAGAGACTCATGAGAAAACTCAAATCAACAATGTTTTAACAAAAATAAAAATACATGAAAAAGATTTACGTGTAAGTAAAACGAAAAGCTGTAGCGAATGTAATGGATTAATATTTACCCGTAAAATGGTATAATTGAATTTGTAACATGGTTTATAGACAAACAAATCAATTTGATCCAAAAATAAATAAAAAACAGAACAAAAAGTAAGATTAACGACTGAAATTAAAGAAGATACAAGCATGACTCCTAACTTGGTCCCTCTAAGAGCACAAATGAAGACAATGATAAGGTGATGATAAAACTATTAGATGAAGCGAATAATGAAGTACATTTTTTGTGTGCTAGCTATTCATAGGAAGACAAGATCCTAAAATCAAGCTCTTC